TGCTGATCCTGCGATGATTGCAGCAATAAACAGCACCTGGCCAACAACAAAACATCATTTTTGTTTATTTCATATTAAAAAAATAACATCAAGTGCATCCCGGGTAATTAAACAGTATATTTGAAGGGACCCTTACTTTTTGTCAAGTCTGCTACTGTTAAATTAGAAAATATTGGAGTAAATGTCTTTTGCTTAACAGTTTTGAGGCATTTTGCTGACCTTGGATATCGAAATATACTTCTTCTTTATACACTAATGCTAACATCAGCCCATAAGCAAAAACGTGTTGAATAGACCTAAAAATATAAAGATAATGATTGGAAAAAGGCCTTATTTAGTGACGAAATAGCTTTCCAATTATACTGTAATATGATAAAGCATTGGTATAAGAACAAAAGGCCAGTTTGTCTAATACCAAAGGATCAAAGTAAAATATTTATCTGGGATAGTTTTTGTATAAAGAATACCACTAGTCTTTTTTGTTTTGGGCATATAATGAATAGGAAATTCTATGTGTCTATGCGGAAATATTTTAATTGGTGTAACTGTTACAATTTAAAAATTTTTTTTTTTACTTATAGTCTGACTTATCAAGGTTTTGAAATATCGAGAGCGCCAGTGATTAGTAAGTAATACAATAGGTAGATAGTGCAATGGGTTTAGTAAGCAATGCAATGGGTATCGTTAGCTTCATATATATGCAAGGCATCATTTTATTTCGATCTATTGTATTTTATCATTTAATTTCAAATATGCATATAAAATTTTTGTATCGATTGGAATTAGAAAAAGTATTCAATGCATACATTAAAGTGATCTTTATTAAAAAATAAAAACAAAGTACTAATAAGCTACAAATTTAGTTCTTGACTTAATTGTTATTTGAGCAAATTTGTGCATTATGGCCTTTTTGGCTACAAATTCCACATCGTCAAAATGTGCTTTTACTACTTTCGCCTTCTACATTCTCATTTAATTCCAAATTCACTAAATAAAAGAAATGTTAATAAATATGAAATTATATGATAAATGATAAAAATTTAAAACTTACACATATTTGTATTTAAATTATCTTGTAATGCTTTTTGAAGCCTTTTATGTAGCAATTCTCCATGATCATTATCATAAATGCTATTTTCTTTATTCTGATTACATTCAACCACTTGTCTTTTTTTGCTTTTATGATCCCCACTCACATTTTTGGGCTTTCGACCTTTTTTTCTAATGCTGATTGGGTTACTAATAGTACAAGCAAATTCAGTAGTTTCATTGCCTTGCACAATTTGAGTCACTTTAAATTCAATTTCTTTGATAAGCTTATCATGTATTTTGTAAAGCTCTTCTATTCTGCCTGTTTCAATTGCTAAATTAAGTGTTTTTTTATTAATTCAAACACTTTTCCCTATTGTTATTTTCGTGTCATTTCTTGGTGAATCTTCTTAGTAAAAACATGACATCCGCGGATGCTTTCTAAATAAGAGAAATCCAGTTCTACTGCATGTTCTACTGTACTAAATCCATTATTTAATAACAATAAAATTGCTGATACGTTTGAAAGTATTGAATCTACCTCCATAACTGATACATTTATATACTAACACTGTGGTAAAAGTCCAATATAAAATTTAGCAATTGAAGAAACAAGCATTGTTGCAAAAAAATAACGACATACAAGACCATGATTAATTAATGTCAAGCATGTATACAGATGCATAGTGTTATCATATAATACAATAAAATGCTTACTTTTTTTATTAATAGAAAAAATACGCCAAAGTTCACATATTCTTGTTGGATCTAAATCTACAATTAACTGTGCAAGTTCTATCACACATGTATCAAACATATCTTCAGAAAACATGCCTCTTGGTGATTCAACAGTTACCTAAAAAAAACAATTAACCATATATAAGCATGAGGATATCAGAAATTATCCTAAATGCTATTTTTCCAAAAAGTTCAGTCTAATTATAGTAACTTTGTTTAAGGTTTTTGGGAAAATGTCCTTTTGGGAAAATGGCCTTCAGAAAAATATACTGTAACCTACATAAGTAATTATAATCATAAAATCTGATCTATACCTGTTGCTTAAGTTCATATTCCAAATTAGATAGATGACATTGATAATGCATGCTATGATTCATTTCATGTCGTTGGAGTTTAAGAATTGCCAGTGTTAAGAAATATTGACATGATATGTCAACTTCTTTAAAGTAATGATTATGATAATCTTCATCTTGAC